CCCCCCCCCCCATCTCTCACTCAGAAAGTGGCGAAATCAAATTTGACTCACGTGCTCAGGTACTACGGCCTGGTGTCCAAACGGTTTTGTTTTCGTGTAGTGACTCCATTGGGGTAGATATAATGTAACTGGGGATAATGGGGAGTATGGTTGGTACATTGAGGTCACGGGTATTTTATGCTAGTTATATCTAACATAGGTATGGGTTTATTTTGAGAAATAAATATTATTTTAAGTTTTAAAGAAGCTATTATATAATTATATGAAGATGCATGATCGTTTACATGACCTGTGACCTTATATTCAATTACAGAAAGATCAAAAGTATTTTAAAGAACCTACGACCTATTCAGTTATAGAATGATTCAAAATATTATGAAACATTTTTGAGCAAAGCTAGTGTGCATAAATATTGTTAACTTCCGATTCTTGCAATTAATTATTTAATCCTGATCTATTATATGTTTCAATTAGAATTGGAGAATCAGTTTGAAAATGTGTCTAAAAGTTGCCATAGTAGTATTTCACTTCTTTTTCATTTTATCTTTTCTCACAGACTGGCCAAATATCAGACAGAAGGTACAATTGAAGAAAATGAGCTTCAAGAACCAGTAACAGCATGAAAATAGAACCATACAGTCAATGTTAACATGTGTCTAACAGAATATTAGAATTATTTTTACTGATTTGAGTTTTGAAGTGAAATAATCCATTGGGCTGTTTTCCAATTGTTGATTAATAGATACTCAAAGGGAAAAAAATCATATAAAACCAAAATAAATAAATAAAAAGAGCTGTGTGGTTAGTGTGCCGGACTATGTAGCTGTACGTGCATTATAAGTGTGACTGTTAAACTCCATTGTTTGTCACTGCTGGCGACTGTCCCTCAATGTTCCTAAGACACGAGCTATTCTTTTTGGTCCAACTCGTCATAACTTTTGCCCTTGCCGTGACACATCTCTATTTGATGTCCGGGTTGACAATGTCCCGATCCTCCTCTCCGACTCCGTGGCCTATCTAGGCATTGTTTTTGATAGGCATCTTACTTGGAAGCCATACCTATCTGCCCTTTCAGCTAAGGTTTCTCGACGTCTTCATCTCCTCCGTTCTCTCACCGGTACTTTCTAGGGCCTGAACCCTCCTCTTCTGCTATACACATACAGGACATTTATCAGACCCTGCTTAACCTATGGTCATACAGCCTGGATATCTGCTTCTCTGACCTTCTACTCCCGTCTCCAGGTTCTGGAGCGCCTTGCCCTCTGGCTCGCCTTTGGCGTTAAACTCCCTAGTCCCACTTCCGACCTTTATTGCCGTATCAACTTTCCTCACATTCTATTACACCTTCGACAGCTTTGCACTCGCTATGTTAGTAAAT